TGTTTCTGTATGTCATGAATATATTTGAGGATGAAATACATTAAGTGAGTGTGATACACTGGGTTACCATAACAATGCAGACAGAGTCTGGACAGCTGCTTGGCCCTCTCTCAGTGAAGTATCATAAGGTAGTTAAAAGGTGACAAATGATTGGGTTTCTCATAATTTGTCATCTGCTTTGGCCATTTCTGCATGGTTTTGTTTGGTTTTTTTTAAGTGGTACATCCAGTAAGTTCCCTTAAGACCTCAGTTCACTGAGGGTTTCCACTTCTTAGGAGTATAAACCAGTTAACTATGGAAATTTCCAGAGCTGGATGGAGTCAAATTATTAAAATATGCAGCTCTTCTATAGTATAATGGTCTTTCTCTGTGGCATTAATCCTTCTCCTTTTCATACAATGCACTTGAAATGCTGCTTTTCTCTGTAGGCGGCAAGTATTGTCATAACTTCACTTCCAGAACTATTCATCTTTTAAATGTAGAAAACAGTTCTTATTGTACTTCAGCCAGAGAATAATCCCTTTTCTTTCGCTCCTTCATCCTCTGTGGTACACTGATGATATGTGAACTCTCAAGCAGTTACAATTTCACAGGAGCTTTCATGGATTGCAGAGCTCCGGGTTTTTCAGATACCATGCGTTCAATCAGCATCACATGGAATGTCTCTCTGTTTTTAAATCTGACTTGTTAATGTCATTACATTAATCCTAAATATTGCATTTTACAGTGTGAATTCTTGTGGTTCTGTCCTTAATGTCTTCTCATTCTTTTTTTCTGAGCAGCTGTTGGTAGCTCTCCCTACTGCTGTCAACTCTTAAACCTCAGCATTACAAACTGCAGAGAAGGATGAACTTACTACATTAAATTAAGGCTCTGCAAAGTTGGCTTACAATACACATTAGGAACCCAAAAATAAAGAGAAATGGAAAAATCAGCCATTCCTAATGTAACATACTAAACTTAGTTTATAGTTTGATCCTTGAATAACTAACACGTTAGAAGCTTTTAAAATAATATTATATACAAAAATCCAGCTGGTAACATTCTTGATGTGCTGCAAGTATAGAAACAATAATACCAGTGTTAGAGCCACACTGCTGTTCAGATCAGATAGAGAAAAAGCACAAGAAAGGTCTCTCTCTGGAAACCCAGTGATGTTTGAAAACTAATGCTGAACGTTGCAACTCTGCAGACCGCTCTGTAAATGTATCAGTTGGTAATACATTCTGTTCCCAGTATAAGCAAAAATTTAGCAGAGAATTATTAATTACATCACCACACCTACATAATAGAGTTCACTGTAGTTATGTAGGAGTCAACGGTATTCAAGCAGTTTCTTTTGATGAAGTAATCGGGCTGCTTCTGGGGCCTGTTTCAGCTGCTAGGGGCGTGCTTCAAATGTAAATGACTGCCAAATGGATTCCTTCTAAATTCCAGCCAATTAAAATACATTTAAAGTGCAGCTGGTGGAGAGCAAAAGGCTTATAATTGTGTAAGAAACATTTGGGCATGAAACAAATCCCTGAAGTTTGGTGAACGAAGATTATTAAATAATGCATTTCTGTAGAAGTAAAGCAATCAAACAAAGAGCTTTCCGAAGCTGCAGTCAGAACCAAAGATGACACTTTTACCACCACCTTAAAAGAGACAAAGCGGGAGTGTGTTTGTTAGGGTGTCAGTTTTCTACCCTTGGCTCTTTAAACCATGCAAGTTTGGCAGCTTGCCCTATGTGGTGCTGCATACAAATATTGACAGAACAGTGTGGTATTTGTTAAACCCCTTCTTGGGAAGCAAATGATTAAAACTCTGAAGGAAGATCTGAGAACCTCAGACATTATATTTTTTCTCAGTGGCACTATAATATTTACAGAATGAAACAGAAAATAGTGAATGGGGTGTAATGAATGACCTTCCTTTTCTGCTTTGCCTTGTAAGTAAGGACAGATTTTTTGTTTAATGATTTAAATGTTATTATAAAAGAGGTTTACAGTTAGTAGCACTGAAAGATGCCATTAACACTTTTGATTTAACCTCATGTTTTGGGAGAAAGTTCAGCTGATAAAACAGACCGTGTAAATAGGTGAAATACATTACCCAGGAAGCAGCTGTGTGCAGTCACTGCTGATCCTGTGTCTGATAGATGCACAAACCTTTACAGACTTTTTAATACACAACTATATTTGAATGTTGGTACTTTCCAGACATGTTATGGTCATGCCTGCATGTGCCTAAAAGTGAGATTTCAAATTTTTCTGCTTTTAATATGCCTTTGTAAAACTTAATCTTAATCTTAATCTGTTTAGTAGATCATTGTGCTGATTTTAGAAATGGAAACAAAGATTTTTATAGACAGTTCAGAGTGGTTTTTTTCTATGTAATATTTTATCTGAGAATACTGTCTTTATCCGCTTGGTATTAAACAAACAGTTGAAATTAGGTGAATGAAAAGTGTTTCCTATGTTATCTCAGGTTTTTCTTAATTGTATCAGGAAGTAATAAATGAAATCAGAAAAATGTCTTCCAGAACTAGCAAGTATAGATTTTTACCTGTTGTTATATCTTATCATATGAAATTCATATGAAATAATTTGAAATTCCTGATCGCTTCCTATTCCAGCATATCATGGTCAGTTAGTCTGGTTTGGCTTCACTTTTGTTAACTGTAAGTAAAGACTCCTGCAAATTTCATAGCGACCGATCATATTGCAGCAGTAGGGGTTCAGTTAAATGTGCCTTGTTAATTGTTAATGTGCAAGTAGCACAGAGCACGTGCCAAAGGGAGGCTCGTAAGAAATAAGCTTATTGCCAAAATAAATGTCAATTAAGTTATAAAATCAAGTTTTAAAGGCATTTGTCAAGAAAGATAAACATGAGTACACATATACTATGAAAATAACTGTAATGCAGTTAAAACTAAGAAAATTCAAGAGAATCAACACTAAAAATCTCTAAATTGAGGGGTTGGTTTTCTTTTTCAAATACCCTTATTGATTGGCAATTAATCACAGAGGGAAATCTATTGAACAGATATTGAATAGACTCATCACCAGCCTCTGTTACAAAATTAGGGTCAATGTGTATTTAATTGCAATAAGTATTATGGAAATAGATATGTATATATGTTTATTACATAAAATAATAAAAAATAATGTACATAAATTTTAGCAGCACCTGGTCTCTAACAGCATTAAAAATTTGATACAAGCCCAAAGGCAGTAGGAGTACAGAAGAGTGCAAAGAACAGTCAGCTGATCATAAGGAAGTGGGATAGACCCAAACAGCTAAGACTGCGATAGTTTGCTAATACTAATAGAAATTTCTTTTGTATGCTATCTGACTTTTAATAAACTGACAGTTTAGGGTATTTTTGAGATGTGCAGAAGAACAGTGCACTGTAAGTAAATTTTTATTACAAAACACCAAATAACCCCTTTCTAAAGTTGGTAAATGAGGAAGCTGATAACTGAGTGTAGACGCACCAAAAAGCAGCCTGTTAGTCGTCTTTTCTTGATGGAACCTCAGGGCTAACTGACAAAACTTGTTTCAGACTAAGCCTCTGTCTTAAACAGGCTTGACTCACTCAGTATAAATCAAAAGATGAATCTAGGTCCTCCTGCATAATAACATTTTTCATGTCATTTACTTTTCCTTTATGCATATGTGCAATGATGGATGTATCCCCTAGGTCCAGTGATTCATCTAATATACCAATATGTGCAATGATGGATGTATCCGCTAGGTCCAGTGATTCATCTAATATACCAGTTACCTTAAGGAAAGCAAGAGAGGTGCTTAGAAAGTATACAAACAAACAGGTGAAGAGGATGTATTAGCACTTCAGTATTTCCTTCTTGATCTCATTGTGCCAGCGTTTGACTGGGGTTTAGCTGTTTTCAAATCAGAGCCTCCTTTGCTGCACAATTAAACAGTGAGCAAGTGTCTCTTCAGGGAACTCACTGACCTGTAGGCACACTGCTGCCTGGTCTCTGGAGCTTGGTGGAGCTTAAGCTGAGCTACGTATGAAACTTTCCAAACTGCAGTGCACTTCTGCACAGGTGTTGAGGAAATAGTTTGGGAACACTTAAAAATGTTTAGGTGTCCCTAAGGTTAAATATCCTTTGGAAAGCTGGCTTTCTGGATTGTTTCCTTGGATATTAGCCCTTAAATTCTGCCAAAACACGGGCAGGTTTCTATTGGGCTTTTCCCCAGAATGACTTGCTGAAAAGTTGTACAACTTTGGTGTGTCTCCACAGGGAAAATTACATAAGTCCAACTGAAGGGTCGGCATAATTTATAATGGCAAACAGATGAGAACTTTCCTGGAGTTTTCCCCTGGGTGGTATTACTCAGTGATTCTGCTACAGTAAAAGCCACTACTACTTCATGTCTTTGGCAGGTCAAACTCTGAAATCTTTGGGTATCTGAACATATACCCTCCTTTATTAAAAGACTTGCATGGAGTCTGTAATGGTTATACTGCCCGTAGGACTAGAGAATGGCTATTTTGCTGGTTTCCTGAAAAGCAAAGTGCTCTTTGGTTTCTACATTAAAACACCTATTAATTTTAGGTAGGATTTACTATTCCTTCTCTTACAATTTTGCTGGTGCTCTAGAGAACTCTGGAGGACAGAACCTGGCCCCATACTTATGGGAAGTGGTACAGCAGCAGAGGGATGTCAAGCTAATTAGTGGATACAGATGAAAGTCTCACCCAACCTGAAGCCTAGCTAGTAGCAAAACTCCTACTTGAGCAGAAGGGGGATTTTTCCTAAGTGCATGGTATTCTCCAGTAGCTGTGGGAAAGAGGCCTCTGCTTTTTATGTTGTGCTGCATTCAAATCCTTGATAATGATTCACATATGATGCTCAGGTACAAGGGAAGGTATTGGCCTAAGGGAGCTGTTGCCCTGTGTCAGCCCTGATAACTTTGATGTTTGGCACTGGTTTCTGTGACAGAAGCTGCATGACCCATGCTTCCCTACTGCTGCTCTATCTTCTACCATGGTCATCGGAACTGGTCCTGAGGTCCACAGTCCTCCTGGCACAGGGACACAGGGACAGAAAGAGGCTGTCTACAATGGGAGACTGTGGGAGGAGTGTGTTAGCTTGGAGTACATTTGGTGCACCTTTCACAGTTTCTTCCTAAACTCGTTATCACTCCAGCACACTTGGTCTGTCCTCAAATGTGAGGCAGTAATGTACTGCTCACATTGACCTGGGATTTGAATGTTAGCATTTTGCCTCTCAATGGGCAATGGTCTAACGGTCTTTACAGGGATTTGCCAAACACTGGAACTCTTTTGAGTTGACACTGCTCTCTGACCAAGTGATAATCACACCTGGCCATGCTGATGACAGAACTGGTGCCTGGGAAGGACCAAACCCTATTCCCAAGTCAGGTAAGGATGAGGAAATCTTGGGGCAAGCGGGAGAGAAGAGGTTGAAAACGTGATTGTGGCTCTTTCAAAGAGTGGCAGAGAGTAAAGGGAAGTGAGATCCTCAAGTCTAGATCCTTTTCCACGAATGCAGTGTAAGAACACAAATGTTTCTGTAGAAAATGGATCTTCAGCTGTGAATATCTAGCAGGCCATTAGACAGATTATGCAGGGTCAGAAAGATGAAAGAAATAAGCAGCTATATGCTTGATTTTTCTGTTCATTTCTGTTAACTGGAATTATGTTGCCTGTATTTCAAATTTTGCAAATGAATTCTTCATTTTACCCTTAGTCTTACCAGATTCCAATAATTTCAGAGTAATTGTTAAACATGATGACAGCCTTTTCTAATAAGCATGGTGAACATTTGTCCTGGTTTTGGCTGGGATAGAATTAATTTTCTTCCTAGTAGCTGGTATAGTACTGTGTTTTGGATTTAGGATGAGGATAATGTTAATAACACACCGATGTTTTAGTTGTTGCTGAGAAGTGCTTACACTAAGTCAAGGACTTTTCAGCTTCTCACACTGCCCTGCCAGCGAGGAGGCTGCAGGTGCACAAGAAGCTGGGAGGGGACACAGCCAGGACAGCTGACCCAAACTGGCCAAAGGGACATTCCATACCATACAATGTCATGCTGAACAAAAAAACTGGGGGGAGTTGGCTGGGGGTGGGGGGGGAGAGCACTGCTCGGGAACTGTCTGGGCATTGGTCAACGGGTGGTGAGCAATTGCATTGTGCATCACTTATTTTGTATATTCTTTTATCATTATTATTAT